TAGTAAGGGTTGCAGACGTTCAACCTAACAAATGAACAATTAAACAGCATGATAATCTTTAAAAAGTTGCTCTGGGACAGGTTAATAGGGAGACCAATTTTTGATTGATAAGTAAGTGATGGTGTCACTGGGAATGCAAAATCTAAGCTAATACTTGAAGAATAAGCAGGGGAGAGGCAGGCAGGGAGAGGGAGTAAGATAGGGCAGCACATAAAACAGTCCTGAGGTAGGGAAGTGCTGAGAGCCGAATCCAACCATCATAAAAATGAAATACAATGTGGCTAAGGCATAATAAGCAAGAGGCCAAGCAGAAAGAGAGAAAAGTAGTAGATGAGTGCAAGTATCAGACCAGGCAGTGCCTTAAAGGCCACAGGAAGGAGACAATACTATAGTTTTACTGCTATAGAACAGTACTGATGTTTTAAGCAGATAAATAATATAATGCAATACAAATATACTCTAGAAATGCCACCATGAGGACAACTATGCTTAGACTGATTCGCAGAAAAAGGCCAAAGTGTAAGTGAGAGAAACCAGCTACAAGTATACTGTTAAAGCTGAACACAGTGATGGACACTAGTAATCCCAGCTACCTGGGAGTATGAGGCAGGAGGATTGCAAGTTTGAGCCAGCCTCCCCAGTTTAGTGAGACTGTGTCTCAAAATAAACAGTAAAAAGGGTGCTCAGGATGAAGCTCAGAGGTAAAGCACCCCCAAGTTTAATCCTAGTACTGTATGTATGCACAAACATTAAATATATGTTGTAATAGTCAAAGACAATGGCCATGCTAATCTGGACTAAGGCAGTACTAGTACAAATGGTAAGAAGTGAGTAGATCTGATGTATTTTTCAAGTGTGATTAAGAGGTAATTAATGTTCTTTCCTAGATCAATTTCAATTTATTATTTAAGGCAGAATCTTGATTGCTATTGGTTGAAGAGGGAATAAGAGCTAAGGCTTTAGAGAGTAAATGGAGACTAATCTTTGACAAAACTAAAGTGAGAAATGGAGAAAGGGCAGTAGCTTGCAAAGGCCTTAGGGTCAATGATAGATGTTGCATTCATTCATCCATCTATAGATTCATTCATTTTTAGACAGCAAGTGACTTATTTTCCCCCATAAATAATAAAAGTATAGTGGAGCCTGGCAAATTGAATATGCAATGGAAGCTAAGCAGGCAAGAAATACTGATATCTTTAAGTAGGCACAGGAGAGACAGATGCGCGCATGCGCGTGCGCATACACATACACACACACACACACACACACACACACACCCCAGAAGGGAACAGTAGCTAAAAGCACTGGCTATGAACTCAGACTGTCTGGGATTGAATTCTGTATCTGTGCACCCTTGGACAAGTTACCTAGCCTTTCTTGTCCTCAGTTTCATCCTCTGTAATATGAAGCTAATAATATTGCCAACTTCAAAGGGTTCTTCACAATATATAAGATAGTTCAAGTAATCATGCTTAGCACAGAACATGACACAGTAAGTCTCCATTATACTTTTACTACTCACAATACATCACTTGTAATGGTTCAATCTCCAGTACCAATAATAAACAAAAAAATTTAAAAATAATACCAATAATATTGGTAATAATAATTGTACATCTCTTTTTCTGAGGTTTGGCAGAAAATGAGTTAATGAAATATATGGGGCTGGGGATATAGGTCAGTGGTAGACCACTTGCCTAGCATGTGCAACATCCTGGGTTCAATCCCCAGCACCCCCCAGAAAAAATCATTAAGTCAGGAAATGCTAAATGTGAGGCTAAGCTGGGAAGATCACTTGAGCTCATGATTTTAGGATCACATTAGGCAACAAAGAAAGAGCCCATATCAAGAAAACAAAAAGATATGGCTAGAGATAATAGGCAGGATGAGAATGCAAAGGAGTTTTACTTCTATTCTGTAAATTCAGGGAGACATTGAAGGTTTTTGATATAAGAAATTATATGATAAACACATATTTTTTCAGAAGACTAAATTAATAGTGTTGATAGGTGAAAAGAGCAGACATAAGGCATCTCTAGAGTTTGGAGCCTCTCTCATTAGTGCAGAAGAGTACATGTATTCCTAAAGGTATCCTCAGTTAAGGTATTTGGGTATATTCACACCAAAATAATTTAACTTTTTATGTTTTAGCATGATTTTTACTTTTATAGCTCAGTTGCGTACTTTTATTTTCTTTTGTTTGTTTCTTTGGTAGCAGTGGTTGAACCCAGGGATTCTTAACTACTGAGCCACATTTACAGCGCTTTTATGTATTTTATTTAGAGACAGGGTCTCACTGAGTTGCTTAGAGCCTGGCTAAGTTGCTGAGGCTGGCTTTGATCTCACTATCTTCCTGTCTCAGCCTCCAAAGCCTCTGGGATTAAAGGCATGAACCACCTTGCCCAGCCCACATACTTGTCTTTAATAATTGCCCTTTAATAATTGTCCTATAGTTCAATTCAATAAACATCATTTAGTTATGCAAGATACTGTTCTGAACACTGCAATGCATACATACATGCTTAAACGACTAAAGTATATAATTAATTAAAAAATATTTTCCTGGGGCTGGGGTTGTGGCTTGGTGGTAGAGCACTTGCCTAGCATGTGCGAGGCACTGTGTTCAATCCTCAGTACCACATAAGAATAAATAAAATAAATAAATATCTATCAACAACTAAAATTTTTTTAAAGAGAGAGAGAGAATTTTTTTTATTTATTTTATTTTATTTTATTTTTTTAGATTTTGGTGGACGCAACATCTTTATTTTTAATTTTTTTTAATGTGGTGCTGAGGATCGAACCCAGTGCCCCCTACATTCCAGGCAAGCGTGCTACCGCTTGACCACATTCCCAGCCCAAACAACTAAAAAAATTTTAAAAATATTTTCCTAACAATGCATTTACCTAAATTTTATTTGGCAAATTCTGTTTTATATGTTCTTAGGTAATTTACATAGTATAACTGTTTTGTAATTGCCTTGATATTTTCCTCCAGAGACATGTAACTAAGTATAGTGAGAGTAAATAAGAGGACTAGGTGAATTCATGTACACACAGACTGAGAATTATTTAGGGTTATGTGCATAAACAAGAAATCTCTTCCATTTTCTATTTTGCCTTTAGTTCAGAAGGTATATTGCTTTTTATGTCCCAAACTTCATTTCCTGAGTGGTACCAAGGATATTCCTCTTGAAGGACTTGCTTGGCAAACTAATACATCTTCTAAGATAAACTGCATTCAAAGAAAAAAATGGCTTCAGAGAAATTGCGTAGTGTACCTACTGTAAAACTCATAACCATCATGACACAGTGGAAATCTCACATGGTGTATAGCCCTGCTTCAATTACAATATGAATCTGAGAAGCTCAGGTTTCAAGTGTGGCCTTTGGTTTAGAAAATTTTATTACTTAACATTGTGCTAAAATGCTGCAATTTTTTTTTTAATTTTTTATTGTTGGCTGTTCAAAACATTACATAGTTCTTGATATATCATATTTCACAATTTGATTCAAGTGGGTTATGAGCTCCCATTTTTACCCCATATACAGATTGCAGAATCACATCAGTTACACATCCATTGATTTACATATTGCCATACTAGTGTCTGTTGTATTCTGCTGCCTTTCCTATCCTCTACTATCCCCCCTCCCCTCCCCTCCCCTCCCCTCCCCTCCCCTCCCCTCCCCTCCCCTCCCCTCTTGGGGACAAACGAATGTCAGTAGAGGGAGCAGAAATGCTGCAATTTAATAAATAATATTTAGCTGATTCAGTTGACTAATTTTCCTAACTCAAAAGTTAGTGAAATATATTCTTCAGGTAACTTTTTATGCTCTTGTTGATCTCAAATGTCTATGTCTGATTTTCTTTTAAGGGATTTGACAAAAAAAAAAAAAAAAAACATTTAAATCAGTAGGGAATGACATGTATTAGAATTAAATTACTCTAAATATCGGCAGGCAGTTATTCCACATGTTCAAATGGAATATGCAGAGCCTCATCTTTCATATATTGATTTTAAACAAGATATTGAAATTGCAAAGTTTCAAATATACAACTATTAAAAAACCTTATAAAATATTTTGGATGAAGCAACAGTATTTGACTATCAGGCCAAATGGCGATTTAAAAATGTTTACTATGCAGACAGAAAATGTTCAGGGAGTCTGAGAAAACCTAGCATTCATAATGGAACTGTTTCATTCACATGACAAACAAATTTGTATTGAATATCTAAGTAAAATATACCTTTTGAACTCCAATAAATGAAGTAAATCATGATGTCCTCTTCCCTACCTTTTTTGAAAAAAAATTGCCAACTATTTGAATAGCAGAATTTGGGAATACTTAAAATATATTAACTACATTCTATAGTACATATCTTATACCTAGTCATCTTTGGAAGCACTTAAGAGAAGGGGGAATAAAGAAAATTGATTAATTCCAATAGTATCAACCATATGAGGTATATTTGTAAGATATTGGTCTCACCTGAAACAGCATATTTAGAGCTTTCAATCAATTAATGACACTCTAGAAAATCTGAAAATACCCATGCTTTTTCTGACATAATATATACCATGGAAAAGTCTCTAGTATTTAGCTAGTTATCCAGTTATTATCCTTGCATTGAAGACTAGGTTTGGGGGAGGCAAATTCTAACATGGAGATCTGAATGGAAGAAAAAATAGCCAATACAATATTGCATTTTGTATTTTACATATAGTAATACAACTTAATTTCAATTTAATTTAATAGAGAGGATCTCGTGAGATATCGTAAGGTATTTTGTGAATATAAAAATTAACTTGGTTACTTTTTAATACCATGAAAAATATTAGAGGTAAATAAGGATTTTTTCCTGACAGTCAATATTATATGTAATTATGTAGTTACAAAGTCAGAAAAAAAATCAACATCGGAAATATCTCTCTTTTCACTGTTTCTGACAAGTGTTACCTCCCAGTTGAGTTTTGAGGCCTTTCTACTCAATACATACCACAACTCCAAATTGCTCAGGCTCACAGAGGTCATCATATTCATTCTTAAGCTGTGCTAATTCACTGAGTACCTTCTGCTCAGGAAGATGTTTTACAAGGTTCTAAAAAGAAATGGAAGCAAAAAATTAATGTTTTATGACTAGGATCTTTAAGCATGCAGAAACAATTCTAAAAGTGATAAACTAGTAAATTTCTGGTTGCAGCTGTTATTGCATGGATACACACTCCCTTCCTATCTCCTACAGAATGTAACTTAAAAATAAACTAAATTAAGTATATACAATGTACAAATTTGATTGATTTCTATGCATTATAGTACATAAATGTCAAATAAAAAGTGTATGTAAGAATAAATGGCTTTCAAAAAATGACTAAGCTTCTGGGCCTTAAATACAGATCATAATTTTTAAACTCTGATTTCCTGTCATGATGATCTAAACTGGAAATTGCAAACATTATGTAGTATTAGCTTGTGTATAGTAATACTAAAAAACAAAATATCAACTCTACTATTCATTTCTCAAAATTTGGAACCACCTTCCATCTTATAAAGCACACTTGGCCTGTTCAAAAATTGCCTATTATTTACAATATCTATGTTTAAGTACGTTAGGGATTCTTATTATAATGGAGAATCCAGCAAAAGTAATGAAATATGAGGCATACCCAAGTGTGAGGCCAGTTATAGAATGAGAGGATGTGTCCCTCCAAAATTCATATGTTGAAATCTATACCTCAAGGTGCACTGGCCCATGCCTGCAATCCCAGCAGCTTGAGAGACTGAGGCAAGAGGATTAGTGATGCACTAAGCAACTTAGAGAGACTCTGTTTCTAAATAAAATATATAAAAGGTCTGGGGATGGGGCTCAGTGGTTAAGTGCCTCTGGGTTTTATCTCCATAACAAATAAATAAATGAGGAAAGAAATAAGGAAAGGAAAGGAAAATAAAAAGAAAGAATAGGAAGGGAACGGAAAGCTAGCTTGTTCTCTTTCCACCATTTAGGATACAATGACAACTAAGGAGTCTTCAATCCAGAAGATGGCCCTCTCCAGAACCCAACAATGATGGCACCCTGAACTTGGATTTCTAAGCTTCCAAAATAATGAGAAATAAATTTTGTTGTTTATAAGTCTATAATACTATGTTTGTTTTGTTTGTTTGTTTTTGGGGTGCTGGGGATTGAACCTAGGGCCTTGTACATGCAAGGCAAGCACTCTATGAACTGAGCTATATCCCTAGCCCTATAATACTATGTTATAAAAACCTGAACTATGCTTAATAATGCCAGAAAGAATCAACATTAATAAAGTCATCTCCACTCAGGCTATATTTAAATATAGTACTGTGTTTTGTTATTGTTGTTTGTTGCTTGCAGTGCTAGAGATTGAACCCAGGTCTCATTCATGCTAGGCAAGTATTCTGCCACTAATCCACATCCTCAACCCTATGGTACAGTTGTAATCATTACATTGTCTTGCAGTGAATATTTGTGGGGCTTGTATGGAATTTTCATGGACATATGAAAAAGAAGAAGCTCTCCAAGTAAAACAAGTATCTGGTAGAATAGATTAAATATGATCTATTTACTGGTATAAAAGGGAGTCATTTTACATAAAAAGATACAAAAAGGCCAAAAAAAAGAATAGAAAAAAAGATATTCATGTAAATTACAACCAAAAGAACTGAGGTTCCTACATTTTTGACACAAGACAGACTTTAAAAAAAAAAAGAAAATATAATGAGAGGCAAAGAAGGACATTACATATGGATAAAAAGGTTACTCCATCAAGAAAGTATGATGATTATAAGCCCATGCCCACCTAAGACTAGAGCTCCAAAATTGAAATAAAAATTGACAGACTGGATGGAAGAATTATAGCATTCTAAAATAATACAAAGAGAATTAAATACCCTACTTTCAATAGTGGATAGACTAACTAGAAAACAAAGTAATAAGGAGAGAGAAATTACATTACACTACACTACAAACCAATTAGAACAAACAGACATATACGAAACACTTCAACCAATAACAGTAGAATGTATAATCTTCTCAAGCACACATAAGAACATTCCTCAGGAAAAATCATATGTCAGGCCTCAAAGCAAGTACTAACAAATTTTAAAAAGACTAAAATTAAACAAAAGTATCTTTTGTGATCAAAATGGGAAGAACATAAAAAGAAATAACAAAAGAAAGTTGAAATTTTCTAATTATGCAGAAATTTATCAACACATTCTTAAACAACCAATGGGGCCAAAAAATCAGTACAATAGAAATGACAAAATCCTTTGAGATGAATGGAAAAAAAAGAACAACATGCCAAGCCTTATGAAATACAGTAAAAGTCATACTAAGAGGAAAAAATTACACTAGTAAATACTTAAATTAAGGAAGAAAAATCTTAAATCAATAAATTAACTTACATATTACATAACTAGAAAAGGAAAAACTAAATCTAAATCTAATAACAGGAAGAAAATAACAAAAATATCATACACCCCTGCAAGTGTGCTTTTTCTTCTCCCCATTTATTTTTCCCTTCTTCAACTCAACTGGCTTTCCATTAATCTCTGAGCCTGTAATGGTACCCATTATCTAACTTATGATACTCAAATTTTAAAATATTGTGCTTTTTGATTTAAAAGAGATACAGATATGGATAGAACGACAATATACATGTGTTAAAATGAAATCAAGAACATACATTATTTGTTTCATTAGTATGATTTTTGTCAAATAGAATGAAAATGTAAACAATTGCTAAAATATTATTTTCATTTTACTAGAATATTTGATGCATGAAAATTATTCAATTTTTAAAAATATTACTGTTAGTGGGATTTTGTACAGTATGTTATTATTAAAAAACAAAGACTGGTAACTTGAATAATTTTTACTATAGTGAAACTAAATTAGAAAGATTAAGAACATTATTATAATTATGAAATAATTCAATTCTCTATTTTGAAAACTTTCCTTCTCAATTGTAGGTTTAACTGTGCAAATAAGCAATACAGAATGAATTTAGCCTAAAACAGAATTTTAGCACAGAATGTGATTTTTTTTGTTGTTGTTATTTTATTTCACTTATTGCTATAGATAACCTGTTAAATCATCTTCCAAATGCAGGCTCTGCAGTAGGAGGTGACATATCTTTTCTTCTCTGTTCAGCTATATGAAATATTTAACACTTTCATTGGGCCTGGGTATATTCTGACTCTGGATAATAGTTTATTTGAAAGGCATAGACTTTTAGAACGTCCATTGCTTAGTATTTTCTATTTGAAAATGACAATTAGAATCAAATTCACTATCAAATTTATAAATTTATCACAGATTCAGATTACTATTACAGAACATACTGCTTCAATGAGTCAGCTTCTATATTGTTCCATGTTGCAAGTGATCATCATAGCCAATGCTTAATGATACCTCATTTTTTTACATTACTTTGAAGACAAAAATGTAGTATAAAACTCGACAATATTTCATGCCTATAAATAATTGAATAGAAGAGGATAAAGATAAGAAGATACAGAGGAAAGAGAGATATAGCAGTATTCATTTGCCTCCACTCTCTTTCACCTACTCATCAAAAGTATATCAAGAGAAGAAAATGGAAAAAATGTAGTAGTGTAAGGCACAGCATGAGACTGATGTGTACAATCCTAGGAATAAGTCTGAAGTGTATTTGTGTGGTGAACTAAGGGGCCTCCTGGGAGAAAAATCTAAAGGAAGGGAAGCCAGTGGCAAGCAGAGTGCACCAAGAAGGCCTTCAATTTGCAAAGAGTTGAGGTGATTCTGAGTGCAACATATTTGTTTTCTAAATGTGTCTCCAGACCCAGCCTACTGACTCTCAAAATGGTCAAACTTCTGAGTGCTGTGGAAAAGAGAACTGTATAAAGAACACTACTTTGGTACCAATTTAATCAAGTACATTAAAAAAAGGAGAGGGGCTAAACTGTAGATCACTGGTAGATTATTTGCCTCATTGGTATAAGGCCTGGGCTTCATCCCCAGCACAGAAAAAAGAGAGAGAGAAAGAGAAGACAACAGATATATTTCCATACTTTCCCCCCCAAAACAGCCTTTTCATTTAGAAGGCTTCATAGTTGTGCCCCATGAGAAATTCTTTCCCTCTCCCCACACACAGTTGTCCCTAGGGGACGGGTCAAAACAGGAAACCAGAAGAATCACCTGAAGCTGCTACGTGGAAGCTGAAAAAAATTATATGGAGAATGTACAAGCTATTCCCTGAAGTCCCTACAGACATATAGTGTATTGGCTTTTGAAAAGAGTTAGGGTCCTGAAGTAGCAGTTAGGAGCAAGAGCAAGAACAGTGTAGGTAAACTGGTGTGAATCAGCTAGTGTTGTAAAATTCATATTATCTAAGTACTCTGTATTTTAAAAAATAAAAATAGCTTTTGAATTTCACATTTAATTGACATTACAACTACTTCTGATCTCAAAATAAATTGCAAAGGTGAGTTGATAGTTCAGACACCCTGAATACCTGCTGTAAGTGAAAAGCTATTCATAGTAGCAGAAGCTAGATATTATAAATTTTTAAATATAACAGATTCTGAAAAACTTCAAGTTGATAGGCAAATATCCTGTAAAATTTCAAGGCATAAGCCCTTCCATTTCTCCCTCCTCCTGCTCACTTGCAAAGCATCTTCCTCCCCGCCCCCCCAAAAAAAAAAAAAAAAAAAACTTCAGAATTGTGTTTAAAAGATCAATTCTGGGTCAGTATGAAAGTTTCATTCTAGAAAATGTCAATGAGTTGAAGTTCACGAAGAAAACAACAAAGGAGAAAACGGTAACTATGTCACCATATGAGCAGATTTTTCTTCATCTTTTATGCATGACAAATTCACTTTCTGATGACTGTCAGTTTTATCTGAAGGAAATTCTCCTTACAGACCATAGGCTTTTAACTACTTTTTACATTTCTGCTATTACTCTATAATGCTTCCAAAACTTTATTTCCTTTAAATGTTAATTGCACACTTAAAGGTTAGTTAAGTAAAAGTACTGAACCATAATGCCCTTTCCTTCTTGCCAAAACATAACCTTTCTCTTTTGTCTTATATATC